CATCCTAGGATACCTAGTAGGTACTTCATACCTAGCATGATCATTAACTGCCTCCAAACTACCCTGTCCACACTTTCCCCATCTCAGTAACTCCAGCAACTTCCTCCATCCACTTACTTGGACCAAAACCTTGGTACCATCTTTGCTCTTTTCTTCACATCCCATACCAGCAAAGACTTCAGAACCCTTCCAGAACCTTGCATTTTCTCTGCAATTCACTTCCTCCACCCAAGTCCAAGGCACCAGCATTTTTGCTTGAGTATTACAACAGCTCCCTAACTGGTCTTATTGCTTCCACCTTGATGTCAGCCCTTGTCCATACCCCCTCCCACAATAACCAGGGTGTCAAGATTCAGACATTTTGAATCCTATCATGCTTGTGTTCAAAACCCTGCACTGTTGTGCTATCTCCCTGCCATGACCTGGTGCAGAGCCCACCCCTTTTTTTTCCTGACCTCATCTCCCTCAGTCTTCACTGACTTCCTTTATTTTTTTTCTGTAACACCCCAGGCACATTTGTGCTTCTTCATTACAACTCAAATACTACCTTCTACTGGAAGTGTACTGCACACACACATTCTTTCCCCGGTGTTTTTTCTCCATTGCACTTGCCACCACCTGATATTCTATGTATTTTCATTTTTAAAAAATTGCCTAATTCCATTCACTAGAATGTCAGCTCCATGAGGGAAGGGTTTTTTTGGTTTGTTTGTTTGTTTTTTTGTTTTCCTGTTTCCTGCTGTAACCCCAGAGCTTAGAGTAACACTTCATGCTTGGTAGCTGTTCAGTAAATGTTTGTTGCATTAATGAATGAATCCACTACTACCATGGGACTGTGTATGCGTTACCCAATCTCCATAAGCTTTAGCTTCCTCATCTGTGAAATGGATAGTTGTACCTAATTTATAGGGTGACTGGGACAGTGAAAGTAACTGTTACATGCAGTGCAGTACCTATTTCCTTGGAAGTGCTTTTAGTTTTCCTTCCCCCTGGCTCTGCCTGGAAGAGAGCAGGGATTAATCTTGGACAGAGGTGAGCTTTTCTATTCTCCTTCTCTTCCCCTCTCAGCACCTGGGCAGCCATAGAATAGGATGAGGCACTACTTGATGAGTGCAGTGGAATTCTCTTCCATATACATCGTTGAAAGAAAACAACAAGCTGCAGCACATCATGCAGAAGGGAGGTGTGATCACCTCTGAGATGGGAGAAGTGAGTGACGGGTGTTCAAGAGTGCTGAGTGGGGGTGGGGAGCTTTCGCTGTGTACCCTTAGGAGTCTTCTGAATGTTTACCACGTGGATAAAATTTCCTTATGTGAATAAATTATAAGCCTTGTGAGCAAATATGCAGTTCTAACTTGTCCCTAGGGGGGTGACGTGTATCACAGCCTGAGCAGGAAGTCAGATAATTGGGCTGTCCATGTGATCACAAGCTCTTCAGGCTCCAGCGGTATTCAGAATATAGAATACAGGGTCGAGGATGGGACCACAACTGGTGCCTTTCTATGGGTGGTTTTTTTCAAAAAGCTTCCACAAATGTATTTTTTCAAATTCTCTGCATGGTCACATACTAAATAGCTGAAAATTATTGATAGCCAGCTGTTTCTGAAGGTGAGCTTCATATCCCTGCTGGATCTTGGAGTGGACATGAGGGTACCTTGAATGTATGTGTTTAATGTGTTGGTGTTTTCTGAATTAGCAGATATGAAAAACATAATTTATATCATGTAGGACGGCAATAGTGAGATTTTTTAAAATATTAAAATGGGATCTTTATAACAAAATTGTGAACCATCTTAGAAATCAGCATATCTTCAGAAGTAAAAGTAAATTCACATTTTCATTAATGTCCTGGAATTCCCCAAACAGCTGCTACCCAACCCATGGAATCTTTCATTTTTTATTTTAGATAATTCCCTGTCCCTACATGGGGTCAATCTCGAGGCTTAAAGACATATTTTACAGGCATTTCTGAAACTGCTGGTTTCTTTTCTAGTTTATTCAGTTTCATTTTATTGACTGCTGGCTAAAATTTACCTCACCTAAAAACCCTGCTAAATTTTAGAGGACAAAATGAGGATATTGGGCATAGCAGATGTGTCAGGAAAGGGCCAAAAGAATTAGTCATGCCAAGTGCAGATGTCACAGTGCAGTGGGGAAGATGGGAACCATGAATGCTGCAGTTCAGTGTGCACTGGACAGAAAGAGAACACCGAGTTCTGTGTCATTTGTTCTGCTTAGCAATATGGAAAATGGGACACTTTCACCAAGATTTCTATCAAGTATTATAAAATAAAATGAGTTTGGGCTGAACTTGCAAAATTCCTTAGATCAATTGAATAAATGAAACATTGCTATATGAAAACAACTCTGATATCTATTGGTGGATAATATCTTTGAGCTTTAACATAGTTTGTGTGATATATATACTTGTGTGTATGTTTATTTTAAGAGGGCATCTTTGCTCCTTTGGTTAAGATTTGGCTTACTATAAAGAATAATTTTAAATCAGCTTTAAAGACACACCTTCTCCCTCTGCCCTTTTTCCCCTTTTCCTTCTTTGCTCCCACAATGATTTTTATCTGTTCTATACAGCAGGGATCCCCAACTCTCAGGCCATGGCCTGTCAGGAAGAACTGGGCATGAGTTTGCTAGCCTGAGCTCAACTCCCCCAATCTTTCCCTGGTGCCAAAAAGGTTGGGGACTGCTGCTGTACAGGACCTAATGGCTAGGAGGTAGTAAGAAGTGGAAATTGTACATGCAAAAAGATAATGTTGGAAAAGTTACTTTTTGCAGTCAGCCATTTGGAAATTGTGGTGCATTTTCCCATTGAAACAAAGTTATTTGTGGCTGGCTTCTCAGGTAAACCCACAAAAACCTACTTAATCTATAATGTCTGCGTGGTACAGTACTGTACTAATTGTACTATAGAACCCAACCACCATCCTAGGTTCCCATGGATAAATGCATTTTAAGTTCATATTGGGATTCCAGGAACACAGTTATCTTCCTTCCCTGAGGGAATGGTGGTTGCTCTGTCCCAACTCTTGCCCACTCTCTCCTCCTCCACACCACCATGGTCATCACTGACATGCGAGGGTTCCTGTACCCTATGCTTTTTCTCATCTGAAATAGAGTGAGGACTTTCATTATGAAGCTGTAGGTCATGGCTCTGGGAGGCTGAGCCAGGGATGTCCAGAGGGCCAGGAGCTGGAGGGAGGGACTGCAGGGCTTCAGTGAATCAACTGGAGAGGTTGGGGGATTGCATTTTTCTTCTAAAAAGTCCTTTGGGTGGATACTGTATTCTTGGGACCTGAGGGTAGTCTGCTGCCTTTTTTCTGTGATAGCCAATGCTTTGGTGGAGCCCTTGGGCTGGCTGCTCCCTTGGTGGAGTCTGCTGTGGCTGTGGGATGTGACTTCCTATGAGACAGGGTAGCTGTAGGTGCTGAGATCAATATCCCTAGCACAGTGTTTTCCAAAGATGCCCATACTTCTGGTACATGCACAAGAAATTTTTGTTTTAAATGTTTTATCTTTATTTTTATAGTTATTCTTTATTTCTAGTAAGAGATACTGGTTTTCCATTTATGATAATAATGTAAATTTTCTATTAAAATATACTTATTTCAGCCAAAGTGATCTGGTTTCAGGACAAAAAATTAGAACAAGAAGTACATGCATGTGAGAGACTGCTCTTTGATGAACAGCTCTAGAAAAATAATATACCATCAATTGGGGGGGGGAATCAGACTACCAACAGTATGGGTTGTGTGATTTCATTTAAAAAAACACACAAGATATTTTTCAGTGCATAGCTGCCCTCCAAACAAGGCAGTATAGAGAAGTAGACACCGAAATGTTGACAGAGGTTGGTTATCTATGGGAGGTGGTGTGAAGGGTGATTTTTCAAATTATTTTTTTCTCCTCTTGCTTGTGAGTACGCACTTTCTAAGTTTTGACTACACTCACAATACAACACTTTGTCAATAAAAATTTACCTGGAAAGTATATGTAACTTTCTATTCTCCTTATTGTCTCTTCTCCTTCAGTTGTATGCTGTCATCTCATCTAATCCCCTTAATAAGGAATGGATAATGTCTGCTTTCTGTTTTTGGAAGGAACATTACAAATTTTTTTCCTCCAACTTAAGATACCAGTATATTTCACTCAGCTGAGAAAGTGAAAATTGCATTTCAATTTATATACAAATGGTTCTCCATGTAGTCTGTCTTTATGTATGCTGTCTTTGTGTCATAGTTCTTGCTGTCATAACAGGCCACATGTGAGGGTAGCTATTGACATGAAGACATCCCTCTGAGACAACCACTGGAAGAACTGGAAGACCTGCTTTTTCTCCCTTGTCTTTGTTAATTTGCATGGTTCTCAGCTTAGGCAAGACCCCTTCAAGGCTTCCATTTCTACAGCTAGATCAGGTGACATTGCTAATGTCCAGATTCCATAAGAATCAATTAGCTCAGGGTTTGGAGAAATTGTTAAGAATGCTGACAGAGATGGAGCTACACTCTTAGGTTTGCTGCTGTACATAGGTGATCAATTCATCCCAGTGTGCCCTGGACTTTCCAGGTTTTAGCACTGACAGTCTCATGTTCTGGACACATCAGTCCTGATCAAACTGGGGCAGTTGGCCACCCTAACTGTACATGTTTAGGCTAACACAGTGGTGTTGGCAACGTGAAAAGGACAGGGAAAACAATACAGTCAATTTCCCCAGCTCAATCTCCAAGCATATGGGCAATTCATTTAATAAATAGAATGCCTTTCTCATGAAAAATTATTTTCAATAAAAATTTAGTTGATATACCAGATGTCCTGAAAAACCTACGCCCAAAGTTGGCTGTCACATTGTTTCCACCTCTTTCAGTGGTTGTCCATACCTTATGCAGTGGTTGCTGACCTCCAGTAGCTAGACGGGGAGAAAAATGACATCCTCATCTCACTTTCAGTAATCTTATTTATGTGTGCAATTTTAATCATTTCCACAGGGAGAAGGCAAACCTTGCCATTACTGTCTACAATGACAAGGAGGAAATCATGGCCCATGCCACCTTCCTGGACTATCCCAACTGGAATGTGGCCGAACAGGATAACTGGGTATCTTTGTTCCGGGAACTTGACAGTGACATCCCATGCACAGTAAGCAATCATGCACAATGCTTGTTAGAGTAGTCTTGATTTTGAAACAAAGTCCTGTGTTTACATATATGTCTGTTTAATTTTGGACTGAGCAGTTCAAAACTCCTGACAGAAAGTATAGACATTATGACAGTTAGAAATGAAATTATCTGGTGGGGAGGAAAAGCGGGTCTGTGGGGATAGGAAAGGGTAAATAAATAATAGCAAGATCAGACAATTGCACAGCCCAGGTCATGCTCTGTTAATGAGGACTGGGAGCAAGAAATTAGTGCGAGTGTCAGAACATCTGCTTTCTAGGTCTCCACCCTGCACCAAGCATCAGTATCCAAAGTCTTTGATATGTTTGGAGGACACCTGCCATCTACATATTTACCTCAGTAATAATGACAACAGCCTCAGGTTCATGTCACACTATAATTTTCAAAGTGCATCTGTGTACTCTGGTTCATTTGATGTCTTCTAGCTGCGGGCATCAGACAACCTGTTGGCTAATAGTGGCCAGGTCAGCAGTTCCCAGGGAGTTAGGCCTTGGTAGCTGATGCCGCATCTGAGCTCTTCCTGCTCTTGGCCTGCCAGAGCCAGGCCAGTATCTGGCCCCAGTTTCTGTGGAGAGCCGGATGCTGTGACTGTGTACAGCACACTTGCCTGTCAGTGGAATTCAGCAGCATGTCCCCAGAGCCCTGGGGAATAGCAGTTGAGTGCATGAGTGAGTTCACCTCCCACGTATGCGTGCACACACACAGATGCACGCTTGGCACATTATCCAGCACTGATTTAGCTAGATGGTGCCTTCCTCTTGTCCTCTATGTTCTTCTCTTCCTCCCCACCCTGTATACCCAGTTACCATTGCCAGAAAAATTATCTCAAACTTGGAAATAGTCCAGAAAGATTCTTTCAATCAATGCTTGTACCTTTGACTGACTTTCTATTGATTGGTCTATTTTACAATTCTGTAAGAACTGTGATTAACTTGTAGATGTTTATCCATTTAAGATGTAAATAATTCCTATCAGGTGGAAGAGATAACCTCAAAAATTTTGGCTATGGCCCATTAGGACATTAACTATTTCCAGCAATATTTTTTAATATTCTCTCATTAAATTGCCTAAGGTAGCCAGCATCTCAAGTGCAATGAACCATTTTTATCATCTCATTGGTCACCTCACTATTTGATTAGTTGAATAAATCTCTAATGTGTGTTCATTTTATATTTGCATTAGGATCATTATTTTACCTTTTTGAAAATAACAAATTAACACCATTTTTCATAAATTCTTTCCCCTTTGTTTTTTTTATCTTTTTCTCTTAAGATTGTTTTTTTTTTTAAAAAACTAATTCCTACATTAGTATAGACCTTAGTTGTCCAGTATAGCAGCCACCAGCTACAAGTAACTATTGAACACTTGAAAATGTGGCTAGTCTGAATTGAGGTGTGTTATAAGTTTAATATTTACACCAGATTTCAAATACTTAGTAGAAAAAAAAGAACATAATATGTCTCGTCTCTAACAATTTTTATTGAATATATTAAGTTAGTTTAAAGTATTAAAAATTAATTTCACCTGTTTATGTTTATTTTTTAATATGTCTGCTAGAAAATTTAAAATTACAATATGTGGTTGGCATTTGTGGCTCAAATTACTTTACTATTGGAGAGCATTGGTATAGAGCCTTAAAGGTTAATGTATCATTACCTATTCCAGGGGTATTTGCAATTGAAGTAATAATTTTTATCTTAAAGCTAAATACTAAATCTTGAATTATCATATTTTTGTTGGAAGAGAGAATTGGGAGCTAAATCAGCCAAGGAATAAACCATGTACTCCTAAGGGTAGTCCGGCTTGGAATGTAAAGCAGATATTAAGTAAGGTGCTTGTGGGATATAGATGCCTTAATACATGGAAAGTAGTTCCATTTGTGTCATTGTTGTTGCTGTTGTCTGGACTGTGGGGTTTGTGTTGTTTGCCTTTTGGGAGTTTTCAAGCTCATGAACCAAATTAATGATACTTCTCAAATCATTTTGTGCCTAATAAATGCTTCTTCTGAGTGTTCCTAAGGCACATGCCATCCAACAGGAGGGGAGACCAAGCCACATGGATGTGCATGTGGTAACCCAAGGCTATCTATAAAGTTGCTCAGAAAACAAGAAACACAGTGCTTCTGTTGTCCTGATCTAGGTGCAAGCACTACCTCCACCAATCACCTCACATTAATTCTGGAATTTGAAGATTTTCCATAAACATAGGGGTACTGAGTTGAGTAGACTGATGTGTGGATGTATGAAGTCTGTCCAGAAAAAGTGCAGCCATTGTTAATATAACGAGAACAATTTGCACAATGTAATCTGGCATTCAAGGAGAGTAGACTGGAATACAGAGCGAACAATGATCACTTCACTGTACTAGTCAGTGGGGGCAGCAGTAGATGCTGTTGAGTGAGCATGTATACTGTGGCTGTCCCATTCAAAATGACTGAGCTAGTAGAACAATGAGTCTGCATCAAATTTTTCATTAAGCTTGAACGTTCCTCTGAGGACACTATTCGGATGATTCAGCAGGCCACAGCTATGGACAGCTGGTTACTAGCAGCTTCATCACAACGTGTCTGCTCATATGTCGTGTGTCATGCAGAGTTTTTGTGAAACATCAAGTCACCCAGGTGACTCAGCCCCCTACAGCCCAGATTTGGTGATCTGCAACTTCTGGCTTTTCCTCAAACTAAAATCACCTTTGAAAAGGAAGAGGTTTCATTCAGACAGTCGATAAGATTCAGGAAAATACCATAGGGCAGCTGATGGCAATTGGGAGAACAGTGCAAGGTCCCAAGGTGCCTACTTTGAACGGGACTGAGACATCATTGTCCTATGTCCTGTGTTTCTTGTATCTTGTATCTTCTTCAATAAATGTCTCCATTTTTCATATTATATGGCTGGATACCTAATGGACAGACCTTGTATAGAACAACTGCTCGTTATTCAGGCCATTTAAGAAGTCTCCAGAAGTTACAAGGCAAAGCTCTTTAAAAACTTGAAAGATTTAACATGAAAGTAATGATAGAATCTTGTGCTTTGGGTTTTCAGCTTCCAGGTTTTCTGGATCCCAGGAGTAATATTAGTTTCTGACTCTGGGAATGTTGAACAAAACAAGCTATTGGCAGATCACATGTGTCAACTGCCTTCCATTCCTCAAATTCATAAGAGACCCTACTTCACATCACTTGAATAGAGCAGCAGCTGCTTACTCAAGAGCCCCCGGGAAAGGGTGATTGTCTGTCACTTGGTATAGACACCCCCAAGGACAAGACTACTGAGTTAATAATTGATTTCACTCCCCTGCAGGCACTTTCCTGTCCACACCCTGTTTTTAAGGGCCATGAGAAGAGCCAGTTGCACTGGACTCATTTATAATCCCTGTTTCCTTGAATAATTCTGAGGTAAGAGGACAGAAGGTCAGGAACAGAGTCCAGGAGAAACCTCGAACACTGCCTGGGTATCTCATCACTAAAGATGTAAAATGTCACCCACAAACACAGCGCAGCTCTGTGTCTGTGACTGCCGCAAACCCTCCTCTTACCTTTTACCTCACCCTGCTCTAGCATAGCCAGAATGCTCACTCAGCCTTTAGTTATGTTCTGTTTTCTTCTGCAGCCTCTGAACACATTGTTCATGCACCTCTTTGTGTCTGTGGATGAATATTCTGTTGGCTGCTGCAAAGAAATTATTCGGTAAGTGACTAGAACCTCGCAGACAGTTACTTGGGGGACTGTCAGCACCATAGACAAGACACATTAATGCCAAAATGACATGAAAGAAACCATGTGGATATAGTGATCCCGCAGTATGTGAGGGGAATTGGTTCTAGAAGCCCCCAAAATATGAAAATCTGCTATGCTCAAGTCTGTTAAATAAAATGACATAGTATTTGCATATAATCTATGTCCTGTGTTCTTTAAAGTACCTCTAGATTACTTATAATACCTAATACAATGGAAATGTTATGTGATTAGTTGTTATATTGTATCATTTTGGGAATAATGACAAGAAAAAAAAGTCTGTACATGTTCAGTTAAGATACAGTCATTGAAGGCTTAACTACATGGTACACATCAGCAGCAATGTAATGTTTTTTAAAAAATATTGAGGTTCTGGCTGGGTAGCTCATTTAGTTAGAGTGCTGTCTCAATATGCCAAGGTTGCAGGTTTGATCCCCTGTCAGGGCACATACAAGAATGAACCAATGAATGCATAAATAAATGGAACAACAAATAGATGTTTCTCTCTCTCTCCCCCTCCTTCTCTCTCTCTCTAAAAGCAGTGAATAAAAAAAAAAAATAAATTTATTTTAAAAAATAAATATTTTCGATCTGTGGTTGATTGAATCTATCGATGTTGAACCTGGGGATTCAGAGGGCCTGTAGTTTTGCCTGTAGCTTTAAGGTGTTTTTAAAGGACATGAAACTCTTTGAGGTGTTAAATTTACTTGTAATTTATGGCTGTATTAAGCATTTACAGAATAGCAGTGATATTTCTGAAAAAAGCAATCTATTCTTTGAACTGATGCTTCCTTCAGTATACATCTTTAACTGCCATCGTTGGAATCAAGCAGTAGCTCAGCCATTTAAAAACATGGGTTTGGGGGGAAGTAAGAGAAAAATCACAGGTTTGGATGTTTTCAAAAGTAGTTTGCCTTGTTATTATCTTTAGAAATGTTTATTAACATGACAGACTGCAGAAGCATCTTGAATAATATGGCACATTGAAATATGATCAGTGGGGCGATGGGGTGATGGCGATGCCTCTCTGACGGCCTGCACAGACATGGGGGAGGTGGCCTCAGCTTTCAAGTCACTCTTGAAATGTCACACCAGACGATCCAGATGTCAGGTCAAAGGTTAATATTAGCAGAAATCTGGTGTGCTGCATGAACGTGGCACCCTCTGTTCTTCCTACCTCCATGGAACAGATAGAAAAAGGGATGTTTGGAATCCAAAGAAAAGTAGAGAAGAAAAAGAAATTTCCTTGAAGATGTTCTTGCCTTGGCAGGCAGGAGCAGGGAGGGCGTGTGGTTGTATGAACATGTCATTTGTCTCAATCATATGCCATCTAATGGGGTTGCTTGGTTATTAACACTCGTCCCGCCCTCTCTTTCCCCTGCTAGGACTGTGTTTAAGGCAGTGCCAGAAATCTACTTCATCTTCCTCATAGTGCCATCCTACATGAGCCTAGGTAAGGTCTGCTAACTACCTCTAGCCCCTAGTCTTTAATACAGGAAATTCAGGTTCAAAATATTGCTTTGGTGAAGGGGAAATAAGAATGGTCTTCAGGTCTAAAATGTATAATGTGTCTATTTAATTATAACAATAAAACACAATTTAGGATGGAAACGACATTTTTTTCTGAAGTTATTCCTTGGTAAAAGGAGGCCACGTTACTTTGTCTCTGTGATTTAGGCTCAACTCTTATAACTGTGTTTGACCAAGTGGGGAACATTCCGAGTCTAACGTATGATGAAGACTTTGCCGTGCATATATGTCACAGGCACAGCCATTACCCTCAGCTGCATATTCGCAAAGCCAGGTAGGTTTCGAGCAGTGCCTTTTGTTACCTAAGTTTTACCCTGGCAGTTACCTTATGTGGAGTTTTTACATTGCCAATTTTACTGTAAGTGGTTATAGCTTGGATTAAAATGTTTTATAATACCCATAAGCGTTACTTCACTTGAAGATATTTATAGTTGCTCTTGATGACATGATTTATGGAACTAAATATCCTATGGAACTCATTTGGTGCTATGTGGCTGGCAAAATTGTACATTTACTACTTGTGGGTTTCTTAAAACACACAGTCCTTGGTCCAACACTGAGGGAAATAGCTTTTTAAAATAAAACAAACTTAAAACTGAGTCTGCTATTTTGTTTTCCTAGTAAAGCCCACTTATTTTCTGACCTTCAGTGGGTGAGGATTCTATTGACCCAAAAAGGAGTTTTCCAAGTCAAAAGTCTTTACCATCAGTGCCCCACATGACATGCCTCTTAAGTTCAGTAATCTTAAGGAGATGGCTTTGCCAGAGTCTGTTTTCCAAAGATGGCTGCAACAACATCTTCCACCCTGCAAGCTCTCCTGCAATAGGGCTTTACTATTCCTCTCCTCAAGAGGTGGGGTCTGTGTCCCTCTTTATCCGGGCAGATTGTCACTTTTTCAACCCATACAGCATGGTGGAATGGGGTGCTCTGTGATTTCTGAGGCTGTTTCTCTTGGGAGTGCTCTTGGGATTCTCACTCTGGAGGAAATGGGGAAGAAGTCTGACTGCCCTGAGACCACCATCCTGGAGAGGTCTCATGTTGGCACTGGGGTCGATAGCCCAACAGGACTCTTACTGACAGCATTGGCTGACAGCTGCATGAGTAAGCCAGTGAGGACATTCAGGCAAGGTGATCCCCCCTGTATCTGCAGTCCAGGCAGCATCTGACTGCAGCTGCATGAGAGACCTGAAGCAAGGACTGCCCAGCTGAGTCCCCCCATAAAATTGTGAGCAAAATAGAATGGCTGTTTTGAAATGAGAATGTATATGAAACCATTTCACAAGAGTAGTTTCTTGGCTTTATCAGTGAAGAATAAATTATATCTTCTTATAGTCAACTGTTGCCACATTTGATAAATGCTGAATTTCCTTAGAAAGTATTGAATTAAAATTTTAACAACCTGAGAGCATACTATTTATCAGGCATGTGGTATTACAGCATAATTGTTAAGAATTTGTAATAATGACATGAGGTAGATAAGGATTCTGATCTTGGTTATGCTACTAACCAGATGGGTTCACTTAAAAAAGGAAAGGACCTGGCCTCTGCAGGCCTCGGTTTCCTCCCTGTCAGTGGGTATAAGCATGTTGCCAACTATGTGGGATCGTTGCGGTGACTGGATGAGCTGATGAAAGTCAAGTGCTTAGTTAGCACACTTCTAGTCACATGTAAATGCTTAAGGAAATTAAATATCATTATTATTATTACAGTTATGTGGGGGAAAGAGAACTATCTGCAATAAACTGTAATGCTATGTAGCTTGGAAGAAGGTAAAACAGAGAGGGATGAAGACAGCTTCATACAATCCCTTCCCCACCAATACACAAAGTCTAAATGTCCATCAACAGGTAAATGTAAACACTTACAGGCTGTGGTACATCCATATAATAGATATTACTCAGCAATGAAATGTAATGAAGTACTTATTGCATAATAATAGCATGGATCAGTCTCAGAAAGTTTATGCTACGTGAAAGAAGGCAAACATGGAAACAAACTCTGTATACTGTTGATTCACTTGTACAGTGTACAAAACAGGCAAGACTAATCTGTAGAGCTAGAAATCAGATCAGTGGTTACTTCTGGTGGAGGGAAGAGTGAGACTGGGAGAGACATGAAATTCTTGGGTGATGGCAATATTCTGTATACTGATTGCAGTGTAAGCTTATCAAACTGCATTATTAATATCTATACATTTTAGTATATGTTATTATACCTCAATGAAAAAATAATTTAAAAGAAAAAAGGCATCAAAGAGAAAGTAGCCTCTGAATCTGGTCAGGAAGGATGAATCAGAGTTCAGTCTGAGTGACAGAATGAGCAAGCGATGGAGATAGGAAAGCACCTGGTCTATTACCTGTTAGGTACACACACAAGGTGTGGGGAGGACAAGAAAATTCTGGATAGCAAAGGAAGAACTGCAATGGGAAGGCTTTATCTTGGAGCTAGCAGGGAGCACTGAAGTCAAAGGGCATGATGTGTGTTATATGTTAAAAGGTAACTGATTTTCATGTGGTCAGTGGCTTATAAGGAGCATAGAACAGTTTGCCAAGAAATGGTACCAGCTGGAATTTAGGCAGTGACAAGTCAGAGAGATGCAGATAGGGGAGTGGATCAGGGAAAGTGCAGTTTGGGTGGAGAAGTTCAAGGATGAGAATGAGTTCATGATGACTCAGGGTATTGGGGAGCTGATGAATTCATTAGCTGAAAGTAGTAATAAGCATTAAATAGACAGGAGTAAGGATATCATGATAATAAAGGAGATTTTTCTAGTTGAGGGAGAGATTTTAAAATGAAAAAGCACAGAATATTGATAGATGAAAATGAGCTGCTAATGATAATGAGAAAGAAAATGAGAAGGAAAGGAGTGTTGCAGAGGTCAAAGACTCTTAAAGTGACAAACAATGCAGTGAAATCTAATAATTTAAGTACAAAAGAGGCTATTGAATTTTAAAATTTTTTTTATTGTTGCTCAAGTACAGTTGTCCCCATTTCCCCCCCACCTCCCACCCTCAATCCTGCCCTCCTTTGACTTTGTCCCTGGGTCCTTTATACATGGTCCTTGATGACCCTTCCCCTTCTTCCCCCCCCAACTACCAACCCCCTTCCCCCAGTTACTGAGTACTGTCAGTTTGTTCTTTATTTCAGCGTCTCTGGTTATATTTTTGCATACTTGTTTGTTCTGTTGATTATGGAATTTCCTCAAAAAACTAAATATGGAACTGCCTTTTGACCTGGCAATTCCACTGCTGGAATTATATCCTAAGAATCCCAAAACACCAATTCAAAAGAACCTATGTACCCCAGGGTTCATAGCAGCACAGTTTACAATAGCCAAGTTCTGAAAGCAACCTAAGTGCCTATCAGTAAATGAGTGGATCAAAAAACTATGGTACATTTACACGATGGAGTGCTATGCAGCAGAAAGAAGCAGCTCCTATACTTTGCGGCAGCATGGATGGAATTGAATTTGAAAATGTAAAAAAGACACAGATAAGATGAATAAAATTGATGAACTTCTAGCCAAACTGACCAAGAAAAAGAAAAAGAAGACAAATCACCAATGCCAGCAATAGAAGATGTGATATCACAACAGATTCTACAGATATTAAAAGGAGAAGGGAATACAACTGTATAAATTCAACAGTTTAGATAAAATGGGCAATATCATTGAAAAACATAGAACTCATTTAAGATAAATTAGTAATTTGAATCATTCTGTATCTATTAAAGAGAAGTCAGGTGAACTTTGGCTGAGAGGGCGGGTGGTTGCCTGCCCTAACCCTGTCCTCACCTCTAGACTCCAGCGTCGACCTCACCTCATTCTTGTTTGCTTCTCCTCTTTTTCTCTTATCCTCATGGCAATGAACTCTGCCCCTTCCCCAAGATCTGGATCTCAACTTTCTTCCATGCTCATCTCTTTGGCTCCCCTGTGCCAACCTTGGCTACTCAGTGACCAGAGCCCTTTTTTTGACCACTTGGTTTGGAGTCAGGTCTGGTCTATCCTTGAAGGGCAGAGTTGGATATTGGTAGTCATAGTGAGCTGAAAAAACAGAGGTAAGGAAGTTAAGGCAAAGTAATACACACTACTCTTTAGAGAGGTTTAACAATCAAGGGAAGCAAAAAGAGAGAGGCAGACTTTGAACATTATACAAACAATGTAAAGTGATTCCATTTTCACTCTTCATCTAGAGAACTTTTCATTCAGAGGTCCAGACAGCATGTATGTATCTAAAAAAAAAAAAAAAAAGGTGACCAAGGAGTAGAATAAGTTCAGATATAAATTATCTACTTAATTAGAACAAGAAGAAAATTCCTCATAAAAATTATTTTTCTTTACTTCTTATTCATAACTAAATACTTTGTAATTCTCTATAAACTGCTTTTAATTAGGATACACATGCATTTTGAAGAAGAGGAATTTTGTGAGTGAAATAAACATTTTTAATTGATTTGTTCACACTTTTCAAATCCTACTTCCTGATTTATGAAGTGTCTCCTATTAGTAACAGCACAGGTAAATTAGGCCCTCCTGCCCTTGAGTAAAGTACATTTTTAAAATGTTATTATAAAAGTATTTGCAAGTAGGCAATTTTAAAAATTATGTTATGAGAAATTTCCACAAATGGATTGCTTAGGATCTTGTAAGTTCTAATAATTGTTTTTTTTTCTTTATTTTTTAAGATATCTCATTTTTTCTGTCATTTGCTAACTAATTTGGGGTATGGGTTCATTTAATAAAATAAATTATATATATATTTTGCTCTTTTAAAAATATTTTTATTGTGATAAAATATAAATAACATGAAATTGACCATTTTAACCATTTTCAAATGCACCATTAAGTGGAATAAATGCACTCACATTGTTGTGCTACCATCATACCTATCCATCTTCAGAACTTTTCTTTTTAATTTCAATTATTGTTTTAAATGTCAAAATCCATTATAAAATATTAAAAAATTTAAATCAATTATAAAGTCTCAGCAATTGAAACAATATGACACCAGCACAAAAATAATCAAGTAGATCAATGAAATAAAAAGCATTCTAGAAACAAACGTATATATCTAACAGTGTAATATATGATTAAATTGATATGTTAAATCAGGAAAATAAGGCTTATTCAACAAATAAGGAGCATGGACCACTATTACTTGAAATAAAACAAATATAGAGCCCCATTTCATGCATTATACAAAAAGCATTCAGGTGAGTTAAAAATCAATATGTAAAATGTAAGGAGTTTTAGGAGAAAATGCAAAATAATTTTTT